CGTCCCATTCGTAAAGTGGATATTTGAATGCGAAAGAATTATTTTCCCATTTTCATAAGGAAAATGTCGGAATAATAGTAATTATTTTCGATCACAAACCTGTAAAATTACTTAAAGCAACTCCAGTGAACTTTGTTACCTTTGGTCTGATTACACATAGCCTTGGAAGCCGAACTCTTTGTATAGGTTCTTCTGTAGAAATTCTGTCAAAATATATGGGTTGAAATCGAACGCCGCGCTTCGCAGATGAACGCCATGGATAATTAGGGCAGTAGTTCCAATTAAGGTGACAAAAGTCTTGGATTATCATTCACATGAAGTAGAGACTATTTCTCAGCCTAATTAGCTTAAAATTTATAAGAACATAACCATATACACAAAATTAATTTTATGTACATTCAGTTAGTTCTGCTTATAAGAAGTAAGCAGAGTCTATTAATTCTCTGCCGTTTAAAAAACTAATGTCACAAGTTGTTTTATATAGTAATTAACCCTTTTTTAATTCTTGCTAAAGTCTTATTGACAACGCTATAGGTTTGTAGTTTTGCTTTAGATTTTTAATTAAAAGTACGCAAAAGAACATATAAAAATTTCACTTTTTTCTCCATCATGTATTAGGGCCAGGCCTAACCTATATCTTAATTTAAGAGTAGCGGTAAAACCCTAGTATTCGATCAAAGTTTGGTGATGAATGCTTGTGATCTAACCTTCCCGCTTGTCTGTCAGTTCAAAACTGGCTACGAACTAATTAATAGTCCTTGTGAAGCTTTGCGTGAAATTCTGGAACCATAATGTATTCTTTGAAACCAGAGAATCAGTTGTTGCAGAAGAGAAACATTTTGTTTTTGGTTGTGGGCTATCTATTTCGTTCTAGAACAAACTAGTAGCCTGTGTGGTCATAAAAATTTGGACAGCGAAACAGCTTACACAATCACAATAGTTTTTATTTATAACTTTGGAAGAATATGTAACCATATTATATACCATTTCTTAAAATAATCATTTGTGCTCGTCTGATTTGCATTCACACTCTAAGTTTCCGAAAATTCCTTTAAATTCTGAAACAAATCTATCTCGTTTCACCTGTCAGTATTATAAAGTTAGGGTGTTTCCTGTAAACTGTTATGTTTGTGTGCTAGTCAAATATCACATTTTTAGGATATTTATTAATATATAGTTTTATTTGCAACGACCGGAGGATTTTGTTATTATTGACAGTGTATTGATAAATCTCCGCTGAGCATTCGTGTTTATAATAATTTATTTGGCGTGTGATTTATTATTTGCTGATTGAATACGTTCTCTTACGAAATCTGAAATAAAATTGGCCAGATTCCTTTAAACCAGACACTGTGGAGCCTATAGGGCTCAGAGTGCTGTCTTCTCCCCCACTCTTCATATATGACTTCAGAAATGAAGGTTTTATATTAAATTACTTAATACAACAACAAACAAACAAAACATTGAACTCAAAGCCTACGATAGCCCAAATAATAAGTATACAATAACAACATATTCATGAATGACAATATTAGGTAACGGACCGACTGACTTCACCAGTATAGGACCGATTAACTGCTTCTATGTAACTGGTTTTAAATATAAGTCATCTGTGCGTAGGATCACACATTTGGCGTATGAATTTCGTATATGTGGTTATATCGAAACAGTAACTGATTTTCTAGAGCTTAACATAATTTTATAACAAGTTAAGTGTCAGCACCTTGTGACATTCAACCTATTACTGGTTTTGCTTACATCTCTGTCAACTGGCCTAGCTGTACAACTGCATTAATATTATAGAAATATGACACACCATTTTGTTATGATAAAATATGCAGCGGAGAATTGAAAATTTAATAGTAAGTCCAATCGTAATTCCCTCCCACTAATTCAGCGGCTCTGAACATACAGAACAAACTGGTAAGTCACTTGTTAAATAAGGTATTATCGACTTTGAAGCTAAGTCTAAAAACAGTGTGACAGACATCTATGCTAAACAAACTTTTGAACCTTAGTTTGCGTAATATATAGTATTCAAATATCTGAGCCTATGCCCCAGCTCGCTCCCCTGGGACTGTGAACTTTCTTATAATCCTGTAAAATCATTAGACCCAAAAAGCCCAAAACCCTGTATTTGCTACAGCAGTACTATTATTAAAGATTAAAGACTTTAATGTTTCATAGCTTCGGAGTAACAAGACTTTTCATTATGTTCTAGATATTAATAAATATTTGTTGAATATTGTATAAAATTTCTTTAAACCTTAAGAACATATTTTAATTTCTACTAGGAACAGTCAGTGTTTGCCTAATATCTGCTACTTAGAGCTATATATCATACGGTACATTTTTTTTAAATTAAAGAGGCCAATTCAACATATATCCGCCATGCAATCCCAACATGGCAAATTTCGACACCAGAAAAATCAAAAACTGTCTATATCACTGCTTGGGACATGTGAAAAGGCATCTTTGTACCAAATCTCATGTAAGTTGGTTGATATACACATGAATAGTTCACAAAACCCCAAATTGTGCTTTCCTCGCTGAAATATTGAGCAAAAAGATAAAAATTTCAAAATTGTCTATATCTCTGTCTGGGATCTGTAAAGAGTATCTGTACCAAATTCAATGTAAATTGGTCGAAACAAGGCTAAGTAATTGACCAAAACCCCTAAAATTATTGATTTATTTAACCTTTAACCCCCCCCCCTAAAAATAAGTAAAAATAAGAATATCCCACATTTTTGTATGTTTATGTTTAAGAAAGTATCTTGTACCAAATTCCATGTAAATTGGCTGAAATACGGTGGAGTAATTGTCAAAAAAAACTCTAAAATAGTGCTTTTTGTGGTATCTTGAAACCCTATAATTAATAAAAATAGGTAAGTCCACTATTTTTGTTTTTAAATGTGTGACCTGTAAAAAAGAATTTGTATACCAAATCCTATGTAAATTGGTCAAAATATGGCCAAATAATTGACTAAAATTCCCAAAATTGTCCTCTTTTGTCAGCTCTGACCCCTCTAAAAAAAACAAAAAATGAGCAAATCCAACTTTTTGTGTGTTAGTTGAAAATTTATATTTGCCCCAATGTTCATCTTGATTGCTGTAAATATGACCGCATAGGAACTCAAAACATGCATTTTTTGGGAGGTTTGACCTTTGACCACATAAAATCTTTTGGGAGGTCTATATAAAAAAAAAAGTAAAAAAGCCATCTGGTTGTACTGAACCAAGGTATATAACCCTACGAAGTTTCAAGTCAATCCGCCGAGAAATGAAGGAATGACAGTCGATTGAAAAGTGTTTGGAAGAAGAAGAAAGAAACAATATAAAAAGAGAGAAATAAAATAAAAGTTATGTTTCTACAGGAGTCCCCTGATGAGTCAGCGGTAAGTTTGTGGACTCATAACTCTAAAACAACAGTTATACAGAAAGTCCTTTTCATGTAATAGCAATACAAGAATTTAGTGTACATATTACCATTTATTTAGATGGATGATAAATGTAATAAACATTTCAATTATTTATGAATTCTAGATCATATTGGATTTATTGTCTAGTTTTAGTTTACGTCTACTTTTATTCCTGCTTTCTCTGGATCTTAACACGCCAACGTAATAGTAACAGTAAATATTAATTACAGTTTAGAGAAGAGTTCAAATGTTTGCATGTTGTTTGTAATAACGATAGATAGATATGCGGAGAGAGAGAGAAGGATTAAAAGGAGTTATTTACAAAAATGTAACATAATTTATCGAAGACAAGTTTATTTGAGCGACAAAATTGTCCAGTTCTTGGGTAGAACTTGTGTTGACAGGAAACTGTAACGAAGTTGGTCATTGATTTATTACCTCTATTGCGATTTTCCCAAGTAACGAAGTTGTCTGGTGACAGACTGGTTATTTATTTGTCGCGAGAAAACCTATTCATTCTGTTTAGAACCCATCAACTGCTCGAGCACTACATACAACAAAACGTCTGTCCACATAAGAAAATGGTGCACTTTTCCTTAACAAGGATAGCTTTATTACCATACTATAGTCAGTTCTGATGTCCTTATTGCTTAAAAGATGTAGACACACTATAAAATGTGTAGATAAAACCTAACGAAGCAACTCCTGGTTTAAATAGCATGAGTGAAAATAGAGTGAATATATTCCTACTGGAAAAGCAGAAAGAACTAGGGGCGATTAGGTCTAGGTTTTAAAATAGCAAGATGTGTGAAAGGCTGCTATGGAATAAATTTTTATTTTATTAGTTTAAGGTTCGTAAACTTAGGCATAGAGTTTTATTCATTAAATGCGAATACTTAAAACAACACGCAGGTGTAATTAGGTAGAAATACCACTCTTTTAGATAAATATGAACATTTTAGCTGATGAAGTATTTTGTACTTGTAGTTTAAAATTTTTTGATTTCAGATAATTTAATGCCTTGTTTTAACTGGTGGATAGGCTCTTATTGTCTATTGGCTATTATTGGATTGGCTATTATTGTCAATGGATCTATCGTTTATATGCTTGTTAAGCACAGAGATGGACAATGGATTACCCGTGTTGTGCCCACCGCAAGGATTAAACCCCGGGTTTTAATATTATAAGCCCTCAAGCACACCACTGAACACCGAGGTGCTAAATTATCGTAGTTGTTTTGTGACAATCTACAGTTCTTATGGCATCCAACCGTCATGATGGATTTTGAAATATTTTAACTTGAAGATGGATCAGGGATAAAACCTAGGCAGAAGTAAAACAGTTTATTGTTTATTCAAGAATGTATTGGACTCTGTAGACTTACAGTTTAACAGGACTTTCTTACGAAATTTATATTTTACAAACATATATATTAACATTAAATTAGCAGTCTTTTCAAATGAGAAACTATGATTTTTGTGGTTGAAAATATACAGTGTTTGTGACGATAAGATTGTAATATAACATTATTATCATCTTATACTATATAATACTTAAATAGATTATCTTTATTTTCAGTTTCTCAACGTGGCTAATGTGTTCATGAAGATTTTCAACTTGATATGTATGATGTTACTGATTGGCCATTGGAGCGGCTGTCTCCAGTTCTTAGTTCCTATGCTTCAAGGATACCCTCCCAGTTCGTGGGTTGCCATAAATGAGCTCCAGGTAAGTTGAACAGCAAATGAATAAACGTTGAAAGATAAAAAAAACTGTGTTAGTAAAGGTGAAGATCTTTTGTAATCAAAGACACAAAGCAGTAGATAAAACAATAGATAGATAGGTTAAGGTACATGAAAGTAATCTAACAAACAATAATTTCTAAAAGGTTGTATGTATATAAAGAGGATACGGGTAAAATTAGAGGAATTGAAAAGGGCTTTGAACATTGAGCTTTAACATTCTTCACAAACCATCAATTTCGCTTTTATAAAGTATTCAGGGATGAAACGGTTGAAAGTCATTTGAAAGTTTTGACGGTAGAATGTTGTGTGGACTGGATGTTTCGTGGGATATTTTGACAAATGTAATATTTCAATGCTTAACTGGGTGATAGCAGAGGCTAAATTGGACCGAAACAGCGTTCCGCCTTCTTTCTCTTCCGGAAAGAAAAAATACCAAAGGTAATCAAAGATCATCCAATAGCAGAACAGCTACTGTAACGTGTTAATAATATGTATGGGCGCAGGAATTTGTTATCATAACTTAATATAAAAATGTAGATCCAATGCAAAGTTTAGGGGACATTGTCGTAGAAAGAATTTTTTGAGTGGTCAGGTCATTGCCGTGTTGCCATTTAATGAGATTGAAATTTTGAGCCATTTTACTGTATATACAGTATTCACACAACGTAATGTATTGAATTAAAAAAGACAAGTTTTAGTACATAAATTGTAGCTACATATGCCATGAAAAAAGTGGTCAGACCAAGGCCTGACTGACATTACGTCTTCCTACAGCCCTGGGGAACACCTAATCATCCTGTCCGAGCTTATATATACATGAGTATAAATATATATATATATAATAGATCTACTACTGCCCTCCAGTGACACAGCGGTATGTCTGCGGACTTACAACGCTAGAAACCGGGTTTCGATACCCGTGGTGGGTAGAGCACTGTTAGCCCATTGTGTAGCTTTGTGCTTAGTTACAAACAAACAGAGATCTACTGCTACTGCAAAATGGATCACAAAATAAATTTCCCTCTGTCTTCAAAATCCTAAATTAATCACCGCTTGCAAGTGGCAAGATATACGTAATCATATACAGAATATTGCGGTTTGTTTTATAACTCTCTAGGTTTGGCAACTCCAGAGAAAATATTGAATAAATTAAGTCTCAATCAAATTGAAATTACTTTCAAATTAAAGTTGTGTTCTGTTCGCTCAACACTATCAAGAACTTATTGAAAGTTCTAATGTGATTACTAATATAAATAAGGAACGATAATCTCAAAACTTTTGAAGAAGATTTTATTGAAGATAAACAGCACGGAGTACATTACAATACCAACTAAAGTGTGCTACGACGAATGCTTGTGAAAACATGAAGTTTTATGTATATTTTCTTGCTTTTCAAACGCCTTTAAAGCTTTGAATAAAGTACATATCGTTAACACATTACGACTTTGTTCATAAGATCCAACCAGTTCACTTAATTGTGTGGTATAATAAAACACTGATGAAAATCGGTTTAATAAACATCTTTATTGATAAACGATTAAAATCAAGGGCAGCCTTTAACTGCCCTTTTTTCTTACTTCTTAAGTTATAGATCCAAGAATGTGGATTAAAATGCTGCTATTTCTTTGTTGTATTTATTATCATAGCAACTGAAACGCCGGCTATACGGAAACTACAAAGTAGTATTATATATTCTTAAATTTCCCTGATTCCATTTGTAAAGTTATGTTGTTTTTTTATTTACGGCAAAGTTACTAATACTATTGCCGCACTCACCGACAATCATTGGGATACTTTTACTAACAAATAATGGGATTGATCGTCACATTATAATACCCAACAACTGAAAGGGCGAATATGTTCAATGCTGGATTTTGATCCCGCAACCCGAAGATGGCTAGTCGAGCGCTCTAATCACCGAGCCATGCCAGATCGTATGTGTAAAGGTATTAAATATAAGTAATACAGCGTTTAAGAAACAGTGCATAAGTTGTTTTCGCCAAATTAAAGAAAAAAGTTCAAAATGTCGGATAATGGAACATCAGTCAGCTGCAAAAATGAAAACTTTTGAAATAATATTATGGCTTCATATTTGGCCGAATATCCTAATTTAACCGGTCATAGTATTCAGTGAGATGAAATAAATGTTTGAAAAACTTTTTAAATAAAAATTATGCTTTTTCGCGCGAAGGCTGTGTTCATATAGTCGCCCCTAACTTTAGTTTGGTTTGTTTTAGAGCAAAGCCACATGAGGCTCTCTGGTGTGTCCATGATAGAGATTCGAGCCCCGGATTTTTGTGTATCAAGTCCGTTAACTTACTGGTGCCCCACCAGGGAACCCCTAACTTTGAACTTATAGACTAGAAGGAAGGCAGTTAGTTAACACCACTAACACATGAACCACTCTCTTGTCTGAACAAATAGTGGGATTTGACTGTCACTCTTATAGTGTACTCACATCCACAAAGTACAGAGCGAGTTTTGGAAACGAGTCATAAACCATGAATTAATAGTTAGCGAAATTACTAAGTAACTCTTTTCGGTTGAATTGTTTTATGGATAAAACATAAATGCCTCGCTGACGTTAACTTCATTTTGCATAATGTATTTATTACTATTTTCTGTATTGGCTTTGATAGACAGTAATTTTCCAACTTTCTAGCATACACACTATTCCTCCTCCTTTTTTTAACCCTTGGTAGCCTCCATACACTGATGTCAATTCCACTGAGGGGCTTTAATTAACATTTTGTTTTTTTGTGCTTGATTATTTACTTACTTTCCTGCTATTAAGCTATAGGAGTGAGTCTTTTAGGTGTAATGCTATAGGCTGTGTTATTGAGACTACGGAATTTTCAAAATTGCTTATGGTTTTGTTGATGTTGCATCTTGTTTTTCTATTGATCTTATCGTCAAAACCCATATATGATTCCAAGGAAGGAAGGAGAAAAATTTCCAATGAACATATTTCCTTTTTTGGTTTTCTTTACCATTATGTTACTAACTGTGGTTTACTTTTTAAACTTTTTGGTCTGCTGTATATCAAAAAAGTTGTTGTACAACCGAGGAGGTGTTTGGCTCAGTAAATGAAATCAGTTGCAATTGATGAAAGCCTTGTGTGTTATAATACCTATTAGTGATATTGTCGAAATAAAGAAGTTGGTTAGTGGGGGAAATGTTGTTGAAGTCAAGACCACTAAAAAAGCTGCAAAATTATAGAAAATTGGATGTTAAAGCCGACTATATTTGGTCTTCTAGCGAATGCTACGGCGAGATTTCTGGAATCTATCCAGACACACCTGTTCGAGAGCTAAAAGAAGTGTCATTCTATCAGGGGCACCATATAGTGGCAGTTAACATGTTATTCTAAGTCTGAAATTATCTCAGTGGGCACTTGGAATGTTAATGTGATGCTTAAATGAACGGCCTTACCTTCTTCAGTAATGTGTGTCATACGTGGCTAACTTAACTCAGTATTCTCAGCATTTTGGTATGGATACATTGCTTCGAATTACAAAAGTAACCCTAAGTTTTCTGCTTGTGGTAGACCACACTCGTGTTATTTTTGGGTGTTCACACATGCTCGATTTGGGCAATGGCCAAATGATTTAACAAAAAAATGATAATTGTAATTTGCCAAAGCTATAACCCATATTACGGGAGTAGAAGCATATACAGTTTTGTTTCTAACGTGTAAGAATCTTGAGATTTCTTGTGCCTCTGTTCCTTTTCGATTTTACTTGTTTATTGCTGTGGCAATGTTGATAATATTCTTCTTGATCGGCTGTTCACCAAATATTCTAGAATTCTCAATCCATCATTAGATTTCCCGATTTTCATTAGTTAATGTTTCAATGGTAATACACAGATTTTAAATTATTCTCAATGATTTAAGATCATTTCATGGGTAGTTTGTAAACACCCATATTTTAGCAATTTGGCTTCTGAAAATGTACACACTCCTTTTCAATCTCGAGATAGTACTGATATATAACATTTTGTAATGGTATGTTCAATGTCTTCATGCCTATGATCCTTAACTGTAATTACATGCTCCTCCTTATTGTATTATTTTTGCGAATCTTGGTTATGACACTCTACCACCTTTTTTCTCCCTAAACATACCATTAACAGGATTGTCAAGCTCGTGCAGGAACATTTTGGCCTGCGATGGTAAATTCAAAGAGATGTATCCTTTTTTTCTCTTCATTTTAGTGTCTTTCTCCAACAAAAATTATATTCTCATAGTCCCAAAGAAATTGGGGGACATTTTCTGTCTGTCTAAATTTACTCCTTCTCTCCAAGAATGAGACACTGGGAACAATATATCCCTATAATTATCCTACAATTTGTGATCATATGGTAAATGCTAGGCTCATTGGACTAGTTACATTCTCTCTCTCTCTTCTGTCAGAAATATTTCTGAGTTTTAAAGAGAACTTGTGGTGTCTAGTTGGCCTTTAGGATTCTATTTCCATTGCCTTAAAACTTAGGGGTTTTGCCAACTTCTTTCATCCCTTATTCTCTTTGGAGTGGTGATTTACTTCGAAACTATCGGTTCAGTTGTGGAGGGTGAACTTTAAATAACTTTTTACACAACAACACAACATTCTTATCATTAGGGATCGAAACTGATCCTTTGTTTTTTCAAGTTTATGTTATACAACTTAAAAGATGCCTTAGAGAAGGGTAACCGAGTTTTTAAGTTTGCTAATGACGTTTTTATCTGGCACAGTGACTTACCTTCAACAAAGTATAGGTAATAATGGCTGGAGACGGCTTAAATGGGTAATAGAAGAAAAACTTTAATATAAGTTTAA